TTGACTTATCAAATCTTCCCTTCTACTTTCTATGTATTTGCTTCATTAGTTTCTGCAATTTCTCTCCTTTTGTCATTTATACTATTTCGTTTATGGACTCTTATTAAACACATAATTTGTTTTTGCATTATGCTCGTTGTGGTTTAGTGTTTCTGGTTTTAGTTACATTTTTACTATTATGTTACATGTATGCTGGTATTCATTATTGCCATGCCTTTTACAGTTAAGGCCATCTTTTGTTTTTATGTTGTCAACTGCTTATGCCTTGTTTGTTCTTACATTCCTGCTTACATGTTACTTTTTCATTTATTGGATATTCATATCTTCAGATGGATACAATTTTGCTGCTTATGGTCAAACTGGATGGTATATGGTTGTCTAATTGCACTTTTACACATAGGGATGTGTGTGGTATTCAAATCCGTGCAAATGTTTCATATGCATGTTTTATACAAAGCATGACTGAAATTTTGCATCTTTATAAACCAGACCAATCTTTTAAAATTTCTTTTATTGTTGATGGTTGTCCACCTACAGTTTGTATTCATGATGAAGACACCTTCAGATTTTATCTTCATCACAAAGTTCTTCACACTGATTTTGAGAAGTTACCTCTTTGTATTGAGTTTGCTACTAATGAAGTTGTTGATACTTCCTTGCTATTCAACTATTTCTTCTTCCATGTCTGAACCTTTTACTGAATCTGGTATTGTTGTTTCTGAACAAGAGGATGTTCAAAACCTTGTACCAGATGATGATGTTTCATCATCTGAGTTTTCTGATGTTCCAGAAACTTCAATTTCTAAGTCTTCTTCTGTTAGTTCCAAATCGTCTTCCTCTGAAAGTTTTTCCCTTCACCATAATGTTGAGGTCATTACACATCATCATTCTACTTGTCTGATTCATCTTGCCATCTATAAAGACAAGGCTGCTCTTATTCATCACTTGAAAATGTTTGTAATCAATAACAGTTTTCAATATAGAACACTTACATAAAAAAATGCCTTCATGTTATTTGTATGGATCCAAAATGCAATTGGACTGTGCGCGCAGTTAGATTATCTGGAGTGAATATGTTTCAGATTAGAAGGTATTCACAAATTTCCTTGCTTTGACTTTCTTTATTTGTACATTATTGCCATATATTTGTTTTAAATGCCATGTTTGTTTGATGGCAGTATTCTGTGTGATGCATTTCAGGTTTCGTCCTGAACATACTTGTTCTAATGACTACAGACAAGGTAAATCACAAGCAAGCTACAGTAGATATCATTGCAGATATGGTTGCATACAAATTCCTAGATGCTTCAGAAAAACCGTATACTCCTAAGCAGTTACGCAATGATATGGCTTTGGAATTTGGAATTTCAATGTCCTACAAGAAAGCTTGGAAAGCGCAAAAAACTGCTATGGAAAAGCAGTTTGGATCAGATGTAGCTTCATACCAACTTTTACCATCCATGGCTCACATGCTTGACCAATCAAACCCTGGATCTTCAATAAGTCTTGTTAGAGGTGTTGATGACGCGTTTCAGTCATTTTTGTTTTCTCTTGCAGCGTGGATTGATGCTTGGCAGTTTTGTAGACCCGTGCTAATCGTTGATGGCTTATTTATGAAGGCTTACTGCAAAGGAACATTGCTAACAGCGTGTGGTCAAGATGCAAATAGGCACATTGTTCCTTTGGCTTTCGGCATTTGTGATTCTGAATCCACAGCTTCTTGGAAATGGTTTTTGATGAAGTTGCGTGATAGTATTAAGTACCTTCATGACTTATATATTGTTTCAGATCGCCATAAAGGACTTATGAAAGCTGCATCTGAAATTTTTCCACATGCTATTCACGGTTTCTGTGTGGAACACCTTAGGCGTAATCTCATTCATAAATTCAGAGGTTCTGGTGATGGTCTTGGGTGGAAGTTTAAGGCTGTTTATATAGCTGCCACTATTCCTGAATATGAAGAATACCTAGCTATGTTAGATGTTGGTAATGCCAAGATTCGTCCGTGGTTAGATAAGATTGGGAGTCACAGATGGGCTAGATGTATGGCTGGTCCCCGAAGATTTGGTGTGCTTACCTCTAATTGTGCCGAGTCACTGAATAAGGTTAATGTTACTGCCAGAGAGTATTCCATATATAAGCTCATTGACTTTTTACGTCAACACATGCACAAGTGGTTCACGGAAAGATGTGAAAAGGCTTCTAAAAAACTACCATTTTGTCCAGTAAATGTGAAAAACATTTAGTGACATTGCAATATGCATCTACACACATGCAGGTATTAGTTTTGTTTCTTACCTGAATTATTATGTATTACTTTCACGTTTTTATTATGTGTGTTCTGTCAAATACATATGTACCTTAATGGCATGTTTTTGTGTTGTTAATGCCATTTAGTTATTTCATATTTACTTTTCTCTCCCATGCCATTTAGTGATTTCATATACAGTTTACGTTTCTAATTCTCTTTCCGCTTTCTCACCATCTAGGTCAAACCATCTTCATATTTGGAGTTTGAGGTTGTTGATAGGGATTGCCGATCATTTGTTGTTAACTTGTCAAAGAAGACGTGTTCATGTGGTGTCTTTCAATTGGATCATTTCATATGTGTACATGGAGTTGCTTCTCTTCGTATTCGACCAGGACTCTCTTGCTATGATTTCATTTCGCCTTATTATTCTCGTGATGCATTGCTGTCTACATGGGGTAGTAGCATGCATCCAATTGTAGATCCAAAGTCATGGTCAGTTCCACAAAGTGTTCTTAGCATTATGTGCAAGCCTCCAAATTGTCTGAAGAGACCTGCTGACCGTCCAAAGAAATCCAGAATTCCTTCCATTGGAGAGTTTTGTGGATCAAAACGTCGAAGGTGCTCTCGTTGCCATGCCATTGGACACAACAAAAAAACTTGTGTCAATCCAATTCCTAAGGGAAACATTAGTGATGTCTAACGGTATAGGGATAGCCATTATTGACTTAGTTTGAAATCTTTCTTTTATACTTTGTTGAGTAATGTGCTGTAATAGAACAAATTATGCTTTGGATAACAAACTTCATATCTTAGTAATATACTGTAATGGAATGGAAAGTTCATGTGTTTCTTCATTCATTATGTGTAGACAAGTGTGATACATTTAATCCTTAAGTCTTTACAAATTATATTTACTGGTTACTACATCTATTTTAAGTCTTTATAAATATCAGATTTATACATATGTAAAATCAATCCATTACTATGTTGTGCATTTAAATTTAGTTGGCAGATTTGATGTCAATGATTGCCATGTTTTGTTTATTACATGTGAGACAAATGTCATTAATGGCCAACATTTCAGTATACTTTTAAATAATGATTATCATTCTTCCCACCTCAGGGAAATTATCTATATGGACCTTAAACCAGAGAATTTCTTACTTTGTAACCACAGATGATAAATTGTTATACAAATGGCTTCAACGGTCTACATATCAGCATATTTCTAAGTAATATAGTTATTATAAATAAACAACCATTAGCATTCTTTTTATTTTACAAATGTGATTTCAATACTTTTGAATCATTTTCTAAGTTATATTACTTTTTATGGTAGTATGCTATTTAATTGACACATTCATTAGTTTTAAAACACTTTGAAAATGTAGTTCAATACAATACATTGTAGTTCAACAAACATTATATGAAAAACATATTTCAATACAGTCAACATCCATAAGCATTGAAAATGTGTCTAACAACAACCCATAGAATTAGTATTGAAATTACAAAGTTTTTTGTTTTTCTTCATTAATGCCATCCTATGTCATTCATGTCAACCTTAATGCCATCATCAGTTCTTCATCATGCCTGCTGCTTTCATCCTCTCTTTGCTGTAATGAACCAACTGTGTTGCCATATTCTTGCGGTACATTGTCATATCTTCAGCTTGCAGTTCTTTTAAATCCATTCCAACCATCAAGAAATCAGCAATCTTCAGGAGATACATCCCATAATTACCCCTACATTTAACAAATCGTTTACTTTCTATTATGTAATGCTCAAGTAGAATTAATAACAATGTATACTGAAATTTAAGCTTACGCAGAATCCTGTTGGGAGCAATAATCTACTGCTTCGATAAGCAGTTTCCTATTTTGCATAGGTTCATGTTCCATTGCTTCATAAACTTCATGGTAGTCCATCACTTATGGAAGAAACTTCTCAATAGCAACTCTGTAGGATGAAATCTCTCTCAATGAATCAGCTCTCCTCTTGCTTGAATTGTATACTTTGATTTTCCTCTGTTTCACCTCAAGCACCAGTAAAATCCAATGGTTATTGGTGTTTAGAGGAATATAAACAAAATATTCATCTGCCCAATGTAAATAGAAAGAAGCAATGTCCCCCAGAATTATATGATATATTGTGTCCCTTTCTGTCACATTCTGAACAGTGGTTTGTCCATTAAGCACTAATTCATACTCTCTCTTGAGTATCTGCATGAAAAACGGCCCCGCAGTGGTGTATCTCTGTGGCTGATTGTAATGTGCACGCTTCATCCCTAAATAGTACATCCCCACATCTATATGCTACAAAATTAAATTAATATGAATTATCATCCTACTGTATGTGTATTATTTATGGATTTTTATATAATATAAATCATACTGAATCATTTAACCATGTATGGTTCATCAAAAGTTCATACAACCATGTTTTAGCTTCAATCTTGAAGGTGTCCAACATCAATGGGCATGAATTCATTTTTTCATCAACAATTTTGTATCTTCTCTTCTCTTTAGTGTTCATAACCTTTAGAAGCCCAGCCTGCAAGAAATCTTCCACTTCTTTCATTTTTCCTTCATCTACCCCATCTATTGGGTCTTCTGGGAATGGTCCATGTATTTGTCTCATCGGAGGCAAGTATTCATCTTTTTTATTCCTTTTTGCAATCTGCTTCCTTCTTCTTTTGGCTTCCTTACTCTGCCCAGCTGGAGTGTATCTATCAGGAGTTCTTGCACAACGCTTTCCTTTTTGTTTATCTTGTGCTTGTTCCTGCTTTTGAGAACATATGTCAAAATTAATCACATTGACCAACTGACAGAATATATGTTTTTAATGTCATCTTATATTCTATAATGATAGAATAAATGGTATTCAATTAATAATAATGACAAAAAGAAGATTAATTAACTACATATTAACATTTATTTGTGTAAATTAATTCTCTGACCTGCATTCGTCTTTTACGTGATTCTTTTTCAACCGCATCAACTTTTAAACACAATTCCATTATAAATTGTGTGTTCTCTTCACTCCATCTGTATTCTTCTTCACATTCTTTATTATCACTTGGCCCCTGCATTTAATATTTAGAAAATGATCCTTTATTGCCATAATGATGGAACTTAATGCCCTATACGTATTAATTCATATGTTATTACCTTTAACTCTCCTGCACTGCCTTCAACGCTTTTTTCCTTCCCAGTCACATCATCCCTTGATTCTTCTTCCTTGTCCTTGTTCTGAGCATATGTCAAAATACATAAATTAATTTTATATATGTACATGCAATGTAATGTTATATTAGGGCCATAACCACTAGCAATGTCTCATATGTAAAGAAATATATGAAATATTAAATTTATTATCTGTTCTTGTCCTTCTTTTTTGCTTTCTTCATTCTGACAAAATATATTGAATGTTGGAGCATCAATGATCAAGTTTGCCCAAAATTGGTCACTAGCACGCCTTTTTACTATTGTTTCTTCATCTAGAAGTGACTTATCATTCTCACTTTCAATGTCACTACAGACTTTGTTATTCCATGTTTCATCATCTTTCTGATTTTCCTACAAAAACCATTATAGTCATTTTATACATTTTGAGCCCAAGTTTTGTATTTAATGCCATTTCAGTGTCTTTAAGATCCACATTTAAAAATTAACTCTTTCAATTACTAACCTGGAGATTCTCATCATCCCCTAGTCCCCCATTCTCATTGTCATCAGCATCCATGCTAATGTGATGTTCACTCATCTGAGTGTCCTACAATAAATAAACATCAAGAATCATAAGTCAAAGAACAAAATAAATTTTAAATTAAATGATTTATTAGTACCACAACATCTTTCCTTCGTAGCTCTTCTACTTGCTTTTCTGCAGTTTCTTTACAACTGTTAATTTGTTCATCATCTTTCTCTTTGTCCTACAAACAACATTATATTCATATTATACATATAGTTCAATTTTTTTAGTTAGTGTCATTTTTTTTTTGGATAAAATAGTTAATGTCATTTAAACTGCCTATAAGTGCCACATTTGAAAATTAACACTATCATTTAATAATCTCGAGATTGTGGTCATTGTGCTCAACCTCTACTCCATCATTCTCATTCCCATTAGCATCCATGTCACTTTGCTGGTTATTCATTTCATTCTCCTAAGATAAATAAACGTGTTACAATCATTTTTTAAACAATGAATTACATTTCAAATTAAATTATTCATAATTACCACAACATCTTTTATTTCCAAATCTTCTCCCTTCTCATTGCTTCTTCTGTCATCTGTGTCTTTTACTGTTTCTTTCAAACTGTCATCCACGTCGAAAACAACTTTCTGGTTCACCTACAACAGAAAATTACATTCATTAGTGTACATGTGAGTTCAAATGTTTTATTTAGTGCCATTAAATTGACTTTTAATGCCAAATTACTCAGATATTGTGTATTCAATTGGTGTCTAAAATACATGTACATGTTGTTAGGGACCTCAAATGCCAATTATTTGATATTGATTCCATTTTTGGGGTACTATTTTGCTGTTAATGACAAATTACTCAGACATTGTGTATTGAATTGGTGTCTAAGATACATGATTATGTTTGTTAGGACCTCAAATGAAAATTATTTGCTCTTATTTCTATTTTTGGTGTACTAGTTGCTGTTAATGCGAAATTAATCAGATTTTGTGTATTCAATTGGTGTCTAAGATACATGTATATGTTTTTAGGGACCTCAAATGTCAATTATTTGCTATTAATTCCATTTTTGGGGTACTATTTTGCTGTTAATGCCAAATTACTGAGACTTTGTGTATTGAATTGGTGTCTAAGATACATGATTACGTTTGTTAGGATCTCAAATTAAAATTATTTGCTATTAATTCCATTTTTGGTCTACTAGTTGCTGTTAATGCCAAATTAATCGGATTTTTTGTATTTAATTAGTGTCTAAGATACATGAATATTTTGTTAGGGACCTCAAATGCCAATTATTTACTATTAATTCCATTTTTGAGGTACTATTTTGCAATTAATGCCAAATTACTGAGACTGTGTATTCAATTGGTTTCTAAGATACATGTATATGTTGTTAGGACCTCACATGCAAATTATTTCCTATTAATTCCATTTTCGGCTACTAGTTGCTGTGAATGCCAATATTGTTTGATTTTGTGTATTCATTTGGTGTCTACGATACAAATGCCAATTATTTGTTATTAATTCAATTGTTTGCTTTTAATTCAATTATTGTGCTACTGATTGTTGTTAATGCCTAATTATAATTGCAGACAATCACAAGGACTTGTGATCAGGGACTGCTACAAACGTTAGGAAAGTTGCGTGTGAACTGCTACTGCAACTTGACTGAAATAGCTAAGCGTATTAAGTCAAAACTAAATGCAGAAGAACTTGAACTATTTAGAGAGTCCGTTTTTTGTTGGATCCTAAAGATAGAAGAAATGCCAAGAATAAGCGGACAATTGTGCATATGCTTCGTTGGAAACTACATAGAGGAGTTCAATGGCATAACTGAAAAGAATATAATAAGGTTTCATATAGGAAACAGTGTCATTGGCTTCACAAAAGATGATTTAGCACTCTTCATTGGCTTGAAGATAGGTGGAGATATACCTACTGTTCTAGACGTACCAGTAGGGGATTTGTGCAGAAGATACTTTGGCAGTAAGAAGATATTAGTCATTCAAGATATTATTCATGCCATGGACGAGTACAATTCTGAGTATCCAGGGACGAAGAAGGAATATGGCACTAAACTCGCATTGTTGTATGTCATAGCACATGGATTCCTAGGTAATCAGTACTCACATCGTATCCCGGGGAAGTATATGAAATTGGCAGAAGACCTGAATGCTTTTAATTCTTACCCCTAGGGAGAGGATGTTTGGAGTGACCTTGTCACAAATATGAAAAACAGTGCTCAAGCTTTGAAAATATGCACAGGAAAAAGGGTTGCTTTCCCAGGTTGTATGCAAGCAATAAAGATTTGGGCTTTTGAAACTTTTCCAAGCTTGACAAGTGCAGGACTGTGCAGCAAAATAGAAGGAAAAGAAGATCAAATACCCCGAACTCTAAGATGGTCTTTTCACAAAAAGCCTTCCATAGAAAAGTTCTGTGAGGTCATCTTTAACAACACCGAGGTAAATGCGATTATATTTCATCAAAACAATCATGTATATACATACATAAATATGTAATTTAAATATAATATACTAACTTCTTAAAGTTAAATGTTGGTTTGATTGTGGTAGTTTCAATGGACAAGAATGATTCCAAATGAAGAAGAGAAAAATTGCATTGAAGAGCTTCAGGGAACAGAAGGAAGTGAAGCATTTCCTGAATTAAGAATTAATGGTGATAGAGGACTAGGAAAGAAGAAGAAAAAGAATGCAGAAAAAGGAAAAGGAAAGGAGAAAGAAAAAGAAAGGGTGCTAGATGCCAGAGCCAACAGAAAAAGTAAAAGGAATAAGAAATTTGAAAGCAAAAATGAGAAAGGAGAGTGTAGTAAGAGAGTGTTGAGAAAAAAGAGGAGAAATGTGAATCATAATGAAGATTCCAGCTCAGACGAAGATGAAGACGTGAACAGGCCTGGGGAAAAATAGCCAAGGACTCCAAGCAGATGACCATGATACTTTAAGAGATAAAAGAAATTAAAAAAAGCAAAATAAACACGATGCAATTTTTAAGAAGCAGGGAGCGATTTTAAAAGATATTATATCTCTTGTGAAGAACATTTCAAAGAAAAAGAAGAAGAAGAGAGTTTATTCAATTGAGATGAGTGACCAGCAGAGTGTTGTCCAGAATGAGGAAGTACAGCTTGAACATGATGGCCTGGTTAGTAAAAGAAAATGTTAATTTTTAAATATGGCATTAAAAGTCAATTTAATGGCACTAAATAAAACATTTGAACTCACATGTACACTAATGAATGTAATTTTCTGTTGTAGGTGAACCAGAAAGTTGTTTTTGACGTGGATGACAGTTTGAAAGAAACAGTAAAAGACACAGATGACAGAAAAGATGAACAGAACACTGAATGAGAGGGCTAGGAGCATGAGATTACATGCAGGACTTCCAAAGATGTTCTGGGCCGATGCGGTGAACACAACAGCGTACTTGATCAACAGAGGACCCTCATCTCCCATAGGGTTCAAAATTCCAGAGGAGGAATGGAAAGGTCATGAGGTATCTCTTAATCACTTGAAAGTTTTTGGTTGTATTTCTTATGTCAAAGTTAGAGATGCAGATAGTGACAAGCTCGAGGCAAAGGCAAAGAAATGTATCTTTATTGGGTACGGGCTGGATGACATGGGCTACAGGTTCTGGGACAACCACAGCAAGAAGGTTATCAGAAGTAGAGATGTCACCTTCAACGAGAATGCCCTGTATTAAGATGATCTTGCAGCAGACACTAGCAAAGGCAAGCAACCAGAAAACAAACAGAAAGTGATGTTTGAAGGGATGACTAAAGATGACATAGCACAACCTATTGGTTGTGATGGCATGGCTGGAGGCTCAGGGAGCAGTGGGAGCTCAGGAGATACAGGAATTTCTGAAGATAGTGAGAGTGATGAAGATAGTGGGAGCTCGGAGGAAGCTACTCCACAAATCAGACAGTCCACTAGAAACAGAAGACCTCCTAACAGATATTCTCCTTCAGCAAATTATTTGTTGCTGACCGAGAATGGAGAGCCAGAATCTTACACAGAGGCGCTGATTGTGAAGGATTCCATACAGTGGAAGAAGGCCATGGAGGATGAGTTAGACTCACTTGATAAGAACCAAACTTGGTCCTTAGTCAAGTTACCACCGGGAAAGAAAGCTTTGGAGAACAAATGGGTGTTCAGAATCAAAGATGAAGCAGATGGGAGCAAAAGATACAAGGCGGGGTTAGTTGTCAAGGGGTTCCAACAGAAGAAGGGGGTTGATTACAATGAAATCTTCTCTCCGGTTGTGAAGATGACTACTATCAGGTTGATCCTTGGTATTGTTGCTGCTGAAAATTTGCAATTGGAGCAGCTGGATGTAAAGATTGCCTTTCTTCATGGCAACCTTGAAGAAGACATTTACATGGCTCAACCAGTAGGGTTCCCAGTGAGTGGCAAGGAGAAGTTGGTGTGCAAACTCAAGAAGAGTCTATACGGGCTAAAGCAAGCTCCTAGACAGTGGTACTTGAGGTTTGACAGTTTTATGCAGCGGAATGGATACACTAGATGCAAGATGGACCATTGCTACTACTTGAAGAAATTCAAGTCATCATACATCATCCTTCTTTTGTATGTTGATGACATGTTGGTGGCTGGAGCAAATATGCAGGAGATCAACAAATTTAAGAAGAAGTTGTCAGAAGAATTCGAGATGAAGGATTTAGGGGAAGCAAGACAGATTCTTGGGATGAGCATAGTCAGAAACATGATAGAAGGTACTTTACAGCTTTCACAGCAAAAGTACATTCAGAAGGTCCTTGAGAAGTTCAGAATGACGGATGCCAAACCAAGGAGTACACCGTTAGGGAGTCAACTGAAACTCTCCAAGCAGCAGTCTCCAAAGACCAATGAAGACAAAGAAGAAATGGCTAAAGTTCCTTATGCATCAGCCGTTGGCAGTTTGATGTACGCGATGGTGTCAACGAGGCCAGACATTGCTCATGCAGTGGGAGTTGTTAGCAGGTTCATGTCAAATCCGGGAAAGGAACATTGGGAAGGAGTTAAGTGGCTGTTGCGCTACTTGAAAGGCTCTTCTGAAACTGCCCTATGTTTCAGAAGGAATGGTGTGATCCTTGAAGGATTTGCCGATGCTGATTTGGGGGGTTGTTATGATTCCGGGAAGAGCACAACGGGGTATGTATTCACTATTGGAGGTAGGGCAATCAGTTGGATGTCTAGACTACAGAAGAGTGTGGCTCTTTCAACCACAGAAGCAGAGTATATGGTCATTGCTGAAGCGGCCAAGGAGTTGATCTGGTTGAAGAACTTTCTTTCTGAGTTGGGCATGAAGCAGGGAGATTGCGCTCTATATTGTGACAACCAGAGTGCTATTCATCTTGCAAAGAATCCGGTGTTTCACAGCAGAACGAAACACATCAAGATGCGGTATCATTTCATCCGAGAGCTGATTGAAGATGGTACTATAAATTTGCAGAAGATCCTTGGTACGAAGAATCCAGCAGACATGTTAACCAAGGCGGTGACAACGGAGAAGTTGAAGCTTTGCATGGCTTCAACTGGCCTTCCAGATACTTGATGAGAAGGCGTGAACGAGAGAGAGAGAGAGATCAGGGGTTTTACAGAGGATACAAGTTCTTGGATGGCAGATGATTGTTGAACAAGCCTCCAAGTGGGAGATTGTTGAAGATGGAGCCTTGTTTGTGCAGAAGCAGAAGATACCCGACCGGGTGGGGTCAGTCACCCGACCGGGTATGATGTGAATTTGGCCGGGCAACTCTCTGGATTGGGAAACCCGATCGGGTAAGGAGGTTTACCCGACCGGGTCCGTGGATGTTTTGGCTTCTGTTTAGCATACCCGACCTGGTGTCTACCCGGGTATGCCTTTTGAGGCGACACCCGACCGGGTCAAGAAGGGGACCCGACCGGGCCAGTGAAGTTTCTACCTTTCTGCTTTGGTTACCCGCCCTGGTCTCAACCCGGGCATGCTTGCTGAGGAGTTACCCGACCGGGTCAAATAGGAGACCCAACCGGGTCTAAGGGTTAATTTTAATTACGGGCTTAATTTTTGGGCCTGCGGCTCTAATCTTTGTTTAGGTTTTCTTAAACCTATTTAAGCATATCTTGTACGTTGTAATACCCCTTGACGCAGACCTAATAATAAAACAGCTCTCTCTCGTTCGCCGTGGACTAGCACAATCACCCCGATTGTGTGAACCACGTAAAATTCATGTGTTCTTGCTCTTTAATTTATCATTTTATTAACCTAAATCGTAACATAGACTATAATAATACACTGATTTACAAGTATAACATAATAAAAATAAATGCCGTTGAGTGATGGTATTATTGAGAGACAATTTTATAACACAAATTATCCAAAACATGCTGACATTACGTGTCCCGCTGAGGCTCAGTGTTTTAGTACACAAAAACCAGAGACTTCACCAAAAACATAGAACATATAACAGAGTAAACCAAAAAATCAGAACACATTACATTCTTTACTAACTATCATCATTCTTATTGTCACTTTCCTCCTCATCATCATCAGAATAATAGGTAGATGAGCTCTCACGAGTACGCCACAACGGAAGAATAGGTAGCGCATTAGTTGGTTGATTTGCAAGGAAGGGAGACACTCTTGAGCGGACCTAGGCATTGGGACTCAGTGTATGCACATATATAACACTAATAATATACGTAGTATATTACATCTAAAAAAGGCTAAATAAAAATAAATAGATATAGTAAAGAAAATGTATCGGTATATGACCCGAATGATGGAATACTATTAATCTATGACCCAAATGATTGAAAATTATCAATTCGGGACCTAAGTTTTCATAAATTTTGTTATTATTTTTATTTTAAAAAATTTAAATAATATTTAGTTTTATTAAGCTAATAAACTTTTGTGAAAAACAATTCACCAAATATTACCAATGAAATTAATAAAAAATTAAATAAATCAAAACCTATGAAATGTAATCATCCAGATTGATAGTTTTTCATCTTTCGAGTCCTATACTGATACATTTCATCTTTTAGGTCGCGAATTGATAATTCATCTATCTTTCAAGTCTCATATTGATAAAATTCTAGAAAAGGAATTTTATATTGAAAGTGTTGAATAATTAACTCATCATCAATGCTATCAAACACATCACTTTCCAGTATGGGAACTAAACACTCAGGATGTTTTTACTTGGACTGTAATTTGTTGGTCTGATCTGGTCTGGTCTGAACTGGTCTGGTTTAGTTTTTTTGTATTTTTATAACTGTCCAAGTCTGGTCTGGTCTGAAGTGGTCTGATCTGGGAGGAATTACAGTCCAAGTAAAAACATCCGCATTCATCCAATCATCTCCCATCCGATTTCTCGCTTGGTCTTCACAATTTTCATGACTTAGAAAGCTCTTTCAACCTTGTCGGTAGCAACCGAACGAAGAAGGAGAATTTGGCGAACTAGGGATTCTACAGTATGCTTCCTCGTTGATGTTTCCTAAAGAAGAAAGAGATAGGGATTTTAATGGGGTTAATTAAAATTTTGATGGTAAAGCATTAAAATGCATATACTACCTAGTACCGACTATCCAATATTCAAAAAAAAACCTACGGTCCAGTCCAAATGGCAACAAAGAAAATAAGAATTAGAAAGTCCATCTGCCCGACCCACATGCTAAAGTATCATCTCAGATTCTGAGAAGCGGCATGCTCCAAAAAATAAAATACGGGTGTAGCCTTGGGGAGATTCGAACCGATGACCTATAGGCTATAGCCTATAGGGGTTTTGAATTTCAAGGCTACTACTATATAGGCTAGCAAAGCTTTTTGAGGTGAAATCCGTGCTTACCCTAGTTATACTATAGATCCGCCCCCCTGCTCTTGAGCACCTTTTAGATGTAGGTTGTGTCAAACCAATGAGACCAAATTGTAGAGATTAATCTCTCAACGTTTCATGTTGTGCTTGACCGTATGTCATCTCAAAAACTAGTATGCAGGTTGTTGTTTGAATGGTAATGGTTGTTGGGGTTGTGACATCTGCCCAAACATAGATGGCGAGTGTTGTTGAGATGAAGACCCTCCTCCCGCAAAACAATTAAATGAGATCCGATCATGTTTGGATTAACAACACCCATATTTATTAGAACCCCGCAAATATTGCTCATAGAAGAATTGAAATAGGTTCTTTGTTCTAGATTTTCTTCCATCAATTTTTAATTTACCATCTGAAGCTCTGTCATTCCAACTTGCATTGTCTCCGTTTCATCTTAGGATGTTTTTACTTGCACCGAAACTTTCTGATCTAATTTGGTAAATGTCTGATCTCTGTGTATTTTATAACTATCCAGCCATCCAGGTCTAGTTTGGTCTGGTCTGAAAACAGTCCAAGTAAAAACATCTTTAAGCTCAACAAATTTGCGCTCCAAAACCACACATCGACCCTGCAATATATTATAATCATCATATTCTGAAAAAAACTGTTTATTAAATAATATTTCTATGGAGCAAATAAGTTGTTAGCAGATACTAGAGTAGAAGAGAATGGGTCTAATGGTACAACTGGAGTACTGAGCTTAAACCAAAAAATTACTTTGGAGTTTCCTTCGCTTTTAGTATTTTCATATGCCTCCACCTCCACATAGGATAAATTATAAGGAGTAGGAAGTAGTAAAAATAATCCCAAACGGATAAAATAGATTTATAAGTAGTGGATTTTAATTATACACAAAAACATAGATGCAAGAATTTTACGTAATAGTATACCTCCTCCGGTTTAGATGGTTGAAGCAAATGAGGATGAGATAATTGTCCTGGTACGCCGACTAATCGTCCAATCTCTGCCCATATCTCATAGTCAAACATAAGATGTTGTGCCCGATCTGGTCGATATTTTTCTTTCATGCTTTCATGATAAAATTACTGTATTACAGAGTAGTAAAGTAAATTAAACTATATCACAGTTTCCTCATTTCTAGAGCTTCTATCTATCGATTGAGTTTTCCCCTACTATGGGTGTTTTCATACAAAAATCTGCTCTTCCAAAATAATATTAACATATGGGCAATAATACAAAGTAATTAGCTACACATTAGGAAGGATAAAGGTTAGCACACACACAAAATTACACCTTTACAATCACCATACCAATCAACGAGCATGGGTTGTCGGATGCGGCTGGTCTGTGTAGGGTCAATTGTACACCACTCATCACCAAAGTCCTCCATTGTGGGAATTCGGCCAATTTCTACCGCCTATTAATTAAATAAAAAATTAATCATAAATTATACACAGTACATCACATCCAAAAAATCAATCCAAAACAACTTTAACTACTTACGATTTCAAAATAAAAATCTTCTCTTGACTTTCTTCCTTTTGTTTTAGCAGGAACTTCACCCTCACCAAGGTTTCCTACATATTTGTTTTAGTTTTCATTGTCTAAAATACACTGGACCATATTTATATTTTATTTACATAAAAGCTAAATCAAGCTGTGTAATGTGCCAGCTTAATTTTATATACTTGATGCAAACTGGATGTTTTGTCTTACCAACACAATTACACCTTGCAATTTCAGACTTCTTCTTCCATTCATCAGTGTTCCAATAGTTGCATAATTTAACCCATGTGTGAGGAGTTACAAGCTCTGGCCAGTAGGGAATGAATCTTGTATAATATTGATCTTCAAGAAAATCTGGATTTTGTTTTTGTACATGTAGTCTCAAATTTGACATGCGTGCAGTATAACGACTAGAAAACTTTGAATGAAGTTTGGAAATCATTTGTCCATTATCTGACGGTGTCCATGTATACTCTTGCTGCATAACAACCAGAATAGTTAGAATGTAAAACATAAAAAGACGCAAAATAATATTACAAGTATTTAACGAGAATCATGATATGTATTCTTCACGAGCCTTAGGTTCCAAATTTCCATAGTTGGGTGGTCATCCAATAAACAACTTTGTGACAATAGTTTTCCAAGACCTTTCACTTTATGATTTACTTTCAGACTACAAAAAATAAGGAATGTTTAATAACAAACATATATCAGCTGCATTTATAGTTGAAACATTACAAGAATAACTGGGTATTTCATATAAATTACTTACTCGCAGACTACGATGTGGTCGTAGGGCTGTGTGTGGGACACTTTGTTGTGTCACGTTAGGCTACATAAACAGTTCAGACCTAGTATTTGAAGCAAATGAGGCACTTGCATTTGACGCGCAGGTGTTGGGTGAGTGATGACCATTCAGTCTAGATATATGTTCCCCTAAAGACAAATTTCGGGTTCTTCCCACACCAACAATAGCACCATTATTTGCTCGACCACAAATAGCACGACCACCACCGTGCTATATAGAAGCCCTGGAAGACAACATGTCTTATGCTAAACACAATGGATAAAACCCCTGTCAACATAAACTATCAAAGATATTATGTACAATCCTTTATAGAGAGGGGTCTATGTTGGGCCGGGGTTAATCCAACCCCTAGCAATTAAAGTGAGATGTTGGGCCAGAGATAATTGGGCTGGACGAATTGATTAAATAGGAAGTCCAAAGCAAGAGGCGGTCAAACGAATCGGATAAGAATAGACTTGGTGGGAGCATCCAACTGAATGATGAAGCCTAGAAATCAGGAAGCATTTCCGGCGGGCAGTTGAGCCACATTAGTAGTATAGTATTGTTGTATAAATATAGTAGAACTCACAATAGATAGCCACGATCAATCCCACTTGATTATCTATGCACTTATAATACCACTCTCTTATTCATCCACTGAGATTAATATATTTAATTCATTAATCATTAGTTTTTACATTTTGTTTCTTGTACGATCCCTGTATACATATAATTCTAGATTAGTTTAATTCTTGCTTAAACAATTTGGCGCCCACCGTGGGGCATCATGCAAGAAAAAGACCGATCATGGCTGGAACAAATCAATTGTTGATTGAATTTCATAAACAGCTAGAAACGGCAAAAGAGGAAATTCGACGTGAGATGGCGGAACAAACGGCCCACATTCAACGGGAGAATGACGTTCTTCGTTCACAGGTGCAATCAGTGGTGTCGATAGCTTCAAACTCCATGATTAACCGAAGGAGAGACGCCAAGACTATCGCCACAAAAATGGATCTTGGTTTCACCCCGGTGGCGACGGATCCGCCTGCAACGATGACGGATCACGTCTCCCTCACACTAGGCTTGTCGCCAACCGGAGAACCTCAATCAACGGTCATCTCACAGGTCATCCCTAATACACCTCTCGTCCCTGAGACAACTCCCGCTCCCAGCATACCAACTAGCTTTTTTCCGGAGTCCCTTCGACCCAGGCCGAGGACGATGGGCCTGCACTCGGCCACTCAAAGCTTACCGATGTCTTCTGTTGTGTCGGCCCAATGGAACCCTTCATTCCTCACTACAGAGACAGGACCTTTGCAGGTCTAGGCCCATCCGGTTTCACGCAGAACTCCAGACGGAACATCCTTGACGAGCTGCTACCTGAACCACATACACAACGTCCACATAGGCTTGTCACTTCGATGGATCCAAGTCGTGGTGGACGACGTCAGGAAGTCATAATCATTCCGTCACCAACCCAGTCTGAAGCGACTCAGATGGCAGGACCAACAGTTTCAACGGTGGAACTACTTCAACCAAGCCTGGCGGACCCGATGTCAATGATAATGGACCAGCTACGACAAATGCAGGAGAGAATCAATGCGATTCCTGGAGTTCCCACTCCACTTGACATAGCGTCTCAAACGTGTTATGAAGATTCACCTTTTGACGGTTCGATCATGCGTGTCGAATTACCAAATAAATTTGACGTACCAACCATGGAGCCATTTGACGGAACCACAGACCCTGGAGAACATGTCGCGCGATATAAGCAAGTGATGTCGACCGTCTCCGTTAGGCATGAGCAGAAAGAGGCATGTATGTGTCATGGATTTGGCATGACATTGACCGGTCCTGCTTTGACATGGTTCATCAATCTTCCGATTGGGAGCGTCAGTTCGTTTGCCGAACTTGTCAATCTTTTCAATCGACAGTTCGCGAGTAGTAAGGTATTGGAAAGACGGACCAGTGACTTGTATCAAGTCACACAGAGGCATGGAGAATCCCTTAGAGATTATTTGCACAGATTCAACAAAAGGAAGGTGTCGATCCCAAAGTGTGACGTCTCTACCGTCATTGAAGCATTCAGAAGAGGTTTGTATGAAGATTCGGAGCTGTATTGCGAACTGACAAAATACCCTTGTCGATCCTTCGAAGATGTCCAAGCGAAGACGTTGGCTTTCATCCGTCTAGAAGAAGACTTACGATCCCGTCGCAGACAAATTGAGTACGAAGGGGGGAACAGGAAATCAGAATCTCCTAGGAGGCATGATTACAAATCTGGAAAACCTTATTCAAGACCTGAGGAATGAGTTGTCACGCCATGACGAGATGGACAAGACAAGATGATTAAAATCTCAAACGAGGGGCATGTCGTCCGATGGTAGATAGGTTCTAAAGAGCTGCAATACGGTACCTTTAAAGTTGTTTTGTTTTAAATTTGTTAGTTTCTTTTTCATATTGTCATCAATTCTGTGACGAATCACTTTCGTGATGAGTCATTTTCGTGACGAGTCACTCCTATGACAAATCACTTCCGTGACGAATCACTTCTGTGATGAGTCATTTTCGTGACGAGTCACTTTCGTGACGAGTCACTTTCGTGACGAGTCACTTCCGTGACGAGTCACTTTCGTGCCGAATCACTTTCGTGATGAGTCACTTTCGCGACGAGTCATTTCTGTGACGAGTCACTTAGGTGACGAGATGATTGAAATCGTCGAACAAGGGGGCATGTCGTCTGATAGTAGACAGGTTATGATGATAAATATTTCTCTAGTTTTGTATACATACTTTTAAATAATTACTTTGATTTATCTATAAACAATCACTAACTTAAGCATCGGAGGGCCGTTGGCCTCTAGTCAACGGTCGACGTTACCGGATTCTTTTTTACGCAGGAATAGCCGACAATTGACAATGACAGACTCATAACATACATCAAACAAAGCCTTACAAAAGCATCAAAACACAATTGACGGGGGGCTTACAGAATCTTAGGGAAGAAGTGAGGTTTTCATGTACGATAAACATGAGTATAAACACCACCGATTCTCTGCATTGTTTTGGCCAAAACTACAGAAATATACAACAGAAGCATGTGCTCCAAGAGCATGATAACATAAGCTCCAAAATTATACATAAAAACACACTACAGTTGACATCGACACAAATGACATCGACACGCACAACATCGATATGAATGACGTAATGACATCAATGCGAACCTTAAACATTCGTTCTTAAGTTGACGATATTACTCTAAATATACAAACAAAATGTTGTTTAAAGTTTTTGCAGGATATGGTCACACTCGCGGAGCCAAACTCGTCATTTATGCAACAAGGGACACAATCACCCTTGCCAACTGAATTGCCTAGTTATGATCATTAGCACAAATTTGGAGGAAGAGGATACTAGATCAGCCTTCGTTCTTCATCATTCAAGTCCAAGAGACAGATTCGATCAGAAACTAATGGCATGGAAATTTACGGAATCATCTTGTCAGATGAGTGACAGATTGAAGGAAGCGTCTCGTCAAACAAGTGACGAGTTGACAGAAGCGTCTTATCTGAAAATTGATGGGTTGATGAAAGCGTCTCGTCAGACGAGTGATGTGTTAACAGAAACGTCTTGACATATGAATGACGAGTTGATGACATGTCTCGTTAGACAGATGACGGGTCGATAAATGCAATAATCAAGTATGAGTGTGTGACAACTATATACTCTTTCAAGATTTCGACAACTTACTGCTTAACGGGTTGATGTTTGCACCAATACGCATTAACTTCTCGAAAGGGGGCAATTGTTGGGCCGGGGTTAATCCGACCCCTAGCAATTAAAGTGAGATGTTGGGCCAGAGATAATTGGGCTGGACGAATTGATTAAATAGGAAGTCCAAAGCAAGAGGCGGTCAGACGAATCGGATAAGAATAGACTTGGTGGGAGCATCCAACTGAATGATGAAGCCTAGAAATCAGGAAGCATTTCCGGTGGGCAGTTGAGCCACATAAGTAGAATAGCATTGTTGTATAAATATAGTAGAACTCACAATAGAAAGCCACGATCAATCCCACTTGATTATCTATGCACTTATAATACCACTCTCTTATTCATCCACTCAGATTAATATATTTAATTCATTAATCATTAGTTTTTACCTTTTGTTTCTTGTACGATCCCTGTATACATATAATTCTAGATTAGTTTAATTCTTGCTTAAACAGTCTATAGTTCTGTTTTTGGGCAGTAAACTGCAGGGATGATCTACATAAAACTTTTTTTTTCCTGCTAAAAATATTATGATTTATAACCATAATGACGTAATCAACATTTCTTTAAAAGCCTCAGACTGATCAACATTTTTATTATTATGATTTATCAACATTTATTATGCACCGCTGGTAAATGTTTTAAAAGCAACATTTGCGACATAGTTGTTGGGTTACCTTCACGCTCTATGTGTACTTTTCAAACATTCACCATGTCTTGGTGGTAATTCCACTGGTCCCAAATCACAATAATTTCAGATGTGTCAATATGGTTGCTTATTGTGTTCAGACATTGGTATACCATTTCGGCAGCTGGTAATGATTGGTCATCAGCAAAGAAGGTGTGCATTCTCTTGTCAACTTCAATCCAGCTACAACCGGGGTTCTTCCTCAACCCAAGTTCTTTCATCTTCATTCTCACATCCATCACTTTGCTCCATTCCTTTTTACTTGCAAACATGTTTGCCAGAACCACATAAGTTGATGGATCATTATAACCTTTCTGGATTAGAAGTTCTGCAACTTCCTCCCTGATACCTTCTTCTTCCTTGTGCATATAGCAAGCAGAAAACAGTGTACTTAACAATGAAACGTCTTCTCTCATGGAAGGGTGTCTCTGAAGAATTCCATACACTTCACTTAATCTTCCGGAACGTCCTAGAAGATCTAGGAGACAAGAGTAGTCCTCAATTCCAGGTTTGATTCCATAAAAATTAATCATTAAATTGAAATAATGGCAACCCTCATCAACTAATCCCGCGTGGCTACAAGCCGAAATGACTGCAAGAAATGTGACCTTGTCCGGTTTAATATCAGACAGTTGGAGCATTTCATGAAAGAGGTGTAAAGCTTCAAGTGCCCGGCCGTGGGACCCGTAAGCCACAATCATAGAGGTCCATGAGACAATATCTCTCCGGGGAAGATGGGAGAACACTTCAAAAGCTTCATTAACAGCACCACATTTGGCATACATGTCCAGTAATGCTCCCATTACTATTTCATTTGAATCTAACTTATGGTCAACTATACTATCATGAACCTCTCTCCCTTTCTCTAAGGTTGTCAATTGTGAACAAGCTACTAATACACTAGTGAACGTGATTGCATCAGGTTTTATACTTCCCACCACATTCATGTCACTATAGATGTCAAGGGCATCCAAGTAAAATCCGGATGACACGAACCCAGAGATCATTGTATTCCAGGCAGTTACATCGCCTTTTGGGGTTGTACTAAAGACTCGTTTGGCGGTCTCAGCTTTTCCGCATTTAAAGTAGAGATCAATTAGCGAGCATTGAACAAACATATCGGTTTCTATATTGTGTTTGATGATGTAAGCATGGACAAATTTACCGTGCAACAGTTGGGCCGATCTGGAACACGACATCAGCAAGCTGGTTAAGGTTGTCAGAGAAAGTTCAATATCTTCTTCATTCATCCTCAGAAGAAGGTCAATGCACGACTTGCTATCGCCTCTCAAACTGTACCCAGAAATCATGGCATTCCAAGAAACCAAAGTCTTGTTTGGGATTCGCCTGAACACCTCCTCTGCTCTCTCAATATGACCGCATCTCCCAAACATGTCCACAAGAGCAGAGGAAACAAAACAGTCTGGGGAAACCCCATCTTTCGCAAGTTCAGCATAGATCTTCTCGCCTCTGTCTAAATCCAGAAGCCTTCCACAGGAAGATATGGCAGCTGTGTAAGACACAGAGTTTGGCGTGCTTCCAGAATCCTTCATCTTCTCGAACAACTCTAAAGCTTTGCCGCACTCTCCACTTTGGTAATAAGATGAAATAAGAGTATTCCAACAAGCCACATCTCTGACAGGAATTTCATCAAACACCTCAGTCGCTGCTTTAAAACCACCCCCTTTTGCATACATTCCCACCACAGAGCTCGCAATGACCACATCAAACAAGAAACCAGTCTTGATCAAGCGGCCGTGTACTGCATTACCGATTTGCACGTGGTAACCTAGACCGCTACATGCCTTAAGAACACTGGGATAAGTGTAGGCGTCAGGCTTGAGGTAAGGGGATAAGAGCAGTAACCTGATGAAGAGCTCAAGAGCTTCGATGAAGCCAGAGTTGCGGGTATAAGCCGCCATGAGGCCATTCCATAAAGTGATGTCCAGAGGGTTGTTAAGATTCTGGAAGACCAACTTGGCGGATCGGAAATCTTGGCAACAACAGTACAAATCTGTAAGGCCCTTTGATAATGGGATGCTGCTTTGCAAGCCGAGAGTGACAACTTTTTGGTGCAAAATCTTGGTCTCCCGTTTTTGAAATGGCCTGCAACTCCATCTCGATGCAGTACGCGATTTCAAGAGAGCTAAAACCCTGTAAGGAGTCATCTACATAAAACTGTTATTGAGGAAGACAATAACAATGTACCAAGCATCTAATAACTCTTAAACTCTTAAAGACCAATTCATATAATCACATCATTTCTTTATTAAACTAATACGAGTACTACATATTAGTTAAATATATTTTGTGAGGTTTGTTTTGGAAATGACATAAATTGGGTAAAACTCGTACCCCTATTTCATGACCATGAAACAACAAAGTAGAGGATTCAAAAAACCAGCAACCAGCAACAAAGTAGAGGATTCGAAAAAGTCAAAAATTTAATAGCGTATACAGAATATCAGAATACAAAATTAAGCCACGCACTAGTCAAACCTGAAATAATGGATATGAGCTTGAACAACTAACTAAACTCCTTATACCACGGCCGCCCAATTTAACTATAACTGCAACAATACAACCTGTGGTAGTGAGTGTCAGTGTTCTCTTCCATGATAGTACATCTCTTTTATGATTCTAATAACTTAGTCGACGATTGAAAGCAGCGACGCCCAACACATACATTGATAAGAACAATAGAATAATGGAAGAGTTTAAGGTCGAAATATTAGGTTTAGGTGATTTAAAACCTAATATTTCCTGCATTTGCTTGAGACAATATGGAACGTTGGTGTAGGGCGGAACTGCGGAAGGAAGGAACTTGGTGTAGGCGTACGTGTAAAGCGGCGACGGTTGCTGGTCAGGTGGTGATAGTGACTGGTGGTGAGGGTCGAAAGCTGGGTCAGAGTCGCCGGCGGTAGGAGAGGGCTTTGGGGGCTGTGGAAGGCTGGAGAGGGCGGTTGGGGTCAGTTGTCGCCACAGAGGGTATGGGCGGGGTGGTCACTGACGTGGTGGTTTAGGAATGGGACCCTTAAATAAAAATGGAAAATTAGAAAATGAAAATAGAAAATTGGAAATAGAAAAACTAGAAAATGGAAACAGAATATTGGAGAACGGGAAACAGAAGTAGAAAACTAGAAAATATCCGTGTTTGTAAAGAGGTCCTAATATTTTTGGATTTAGATGTAGGCAATGTTCTAAAAGGCGTTAGGCGTTAGTCGGACGACAGCCCAGCGCCTAGGGCCAAGGTGGCTAGGCGGGCGCCTAGTCGGGGACTAGTCGGGGACATAAAAATTGCATTTTTATGTGTATAAAATACATATATACACATTAATAGTTTTTCACATTTAATCATACGTAGTATATAATAACTAATCCTTAACTTCATTATGTTTTAAATATAAATAATAATAATAAAATTTACGTATAATACAAACATATATAGTTTTTATCTTAATTTAAAACTTCATTTATTTATATCCGTGGCTAAATTTAAAGTACATATATCGCTTAGAAAATTAAAATAAAAAAAAAACAAAGTAATTTCGGTGAATCTAGACGGTCCAGGCGGCCAATTAGGCGCTCTAGGCGGGCAACTAGATGTCATAGGCAGCCAACTAATTCACCTAAACGACAAACCAATTAGTCGGAGCATCTACACAAAAATCGAGACGTCTGATCACCGCCTAGCGCCTAGGCGGGGACTAGTCGGACGCCTAGAACGATTTTTAGAACAAAGGGTGTAGGTAGAGATTACTGCATTTGCTTCATCAATGATAATTCTTTCACCTTCTTGTTAATTTTGAGTATAAATCAGATCTCTATTTAATCCATACTAGGCTTGGATTCGGTTCGGGCTAACCGGCCCGTGACCCGGACCGGCCCGCTACTGTGCGGGCCCGGGACCGGCCCGATCTGGCGGTCCGGGACCGGGTGTAGACCCGAATCGGGGGGGAGGCAGGGCGGGCTCGGTTCAGGCAAAAGGCGACCCGGGTCGGGTCCAACGGTCAAATGCTCAAAAAAATGGGTTTGGGCCACAACTAGCAGTTAGGAGTGGGCTGGGGAATACCCAAATGGCTATATAACCGTGGGGTGGGCGGAAGGGGGGTCCGGGTGGTCTGGGGTGGGGGGGGGGGGGTAAATTATCTTCTCTAAAATCCTACTCTCTACTCTCTAATTATATTCATCTTCTCAAATTCTCTTATCCTCCAATATTTTTTTTTTATTCTCCAGTATATTATATATCTACTTATATTATTTATCTACTTAGAAATACATATATTATAATTTATATTAATTATATTTCTTATCTACTTATATAGTTATATATTAATTATCTATTTATAAATACATATATTATATTACTTATATTTGTTATCTACTTAATCTCTACTGGGTAACTTCTCAAATGTACGTGGGGATCTCCCGCCCCGTCATATATCTGACCGCTCGGCGGTTTGGCATCCCTTTGTATTTCTTCATTCATTATTTCCCGGGTAAATGGGGAAGAATCCCGGCCCGCGACCGAGGTGGGTTGTACGGGTGCCCTGTTCATCTGATCTCTCATTTCAGTCACCTGCATCCTCATTTCGGTCATTTCTTCCTCTTGGGCCGTTAGGGGAGTTCCCAAATTAACAAACTCTCGAGTTCCTTCCGGTGGGGGCGTTCTTTGATTCCGACGTTCCTGTCTACATCTGGTGTGGTCACGTTCTGCATAACGGAAATGGCACCCGACTGGCGTATCTCCTCTGGCTCGAGACCCGATCGGGGTATGGTCACTGGGAGTGTGTTGCCTGCCCCTAGACGTGTGAGTCCTTCGGTGATCTTCCTGATGGGCTCGTGAATGGTTCGAAGCCGTGGTTGCTAATGTGTCGGTGGTCTCCTCATCGAATGATTGCATCGATCGGAGTGGGGATGAGGTCGTGTACCTGGTTTCCCCAGTATAGCTGGATCGCCCCCCATCTTGCTCATCTGCCAAGTGCTGCATGACCTGAGCTAGATCCCGCGTGGCGTGGGGGTTCCTCCTCAGTGCTTCGGGGATGAAGAAATCCCCATCAAAATGTTGGTACGACCCCCGGCTGGATTGCCCTTGGGGGGTCCTGCTGTCCCTGCGTCTCCCTGAACTTCCACCAGTGTGATGAGAGGTTATTATGACCATTTTGATAATAGGTTGATGTTTGGAAAGTTGGTTGGTTTTGAAACTTTTTGTTAAGTTTCCCACAGACGGCGCCAATGTTGAGGTTAAGTCCCGCAGATCCGAAAGCCCAACACACGCTTTGGATATTTCAGGATGTGGGTAATAAATCGAGGGTATAACAAAATATAAAAGCTGAATAATAATATTGTCAAAGTCCACTTGTATTTAAACAATTCGTTGATTACACAGGAAACTTCCCGAACGGTACGTCGGAATAATGATTAATACAATAACAAGAATGATAAAGCTATTCTAGGTCTTGAGTATCAAAATGCTAACCCTTTACAATGAGATTAATCCCTCTATTTATACTAATGGGGGTATGGGGTGCTCCACGCTGATTGGTCGTCAATCCAGCCACTTGAATGCACATGCTTCCACTAGTTGATGTCATACTCTAGCATTTATTGCTCCCTACCACTTGCCATCTATCCGTTGCCCGAACGGGGTGATGGACCATGCTGAAAACACCATTGATCTGACCCAAGTCTCCTGGTTGATGACGTGCACTTGTCGTGAGGTGCACTCCAAATAATTTATCAATACAACACTTATACGTAGTATAGGTGAAGTAGAGTTCGTATCCACATGGAAAGGAACAATTCTCTTTTTATGAAACTTTAGTAAATAATGGGGGGTTTTAGTGATGAATGATTTGATTAAATTAAAAACTAAGATGAACGACTTATATGAGATTTAATTCAAGAATAAAAGGGACTTGGCTTTGCTACTTTCCATTTGTTGATATATTTTAGTCGATCCTTGTTATATCTATAACTTATCCCCTCTCGAATACTCAATCGAGGAGTATCTCCAATTCATCGAGGGTAGTTATTAACAACGACCGTTCATTAATAACTCTTACTATTAATCAAATATAGAACAACGCCGTATACCGATATAATAGTAGCATTCAGTCTTTTTAACTCCTTGATGAAATCAATTGAGATTGATAACCTTAACAAAACGGTTTCGGTTTAACCAACAAAATTGATCCATCTTTAGTCTATTAACCACGACCGTGCATTAATAAACCGAAGTTACTTACTTGCGAAACCACCAACGATTAACCATCGGTTCGTTGATCGTTTCTAGTAATAATTAATGTCGGAACGTTAACTAATCGTCACTTAGCAACCCTCCAACATTAATATAGAATGAGATTAAGGGGAGAATTAACAATCAAGAGAAGAAGTTAAGAAAATAACTCACAACTTTAATAATCAACAAGCTTCAAGAGCAAAACCAAGAAATGGAAGTTTAGCTCCTCATTTGGAGACTAAACATGCTATAAAAATATAAGAAATGTTATTCTAAACTGAGCTTAGGAGTATAGAAGAAGGGATGATTCTTTTGTGAAGAAAAAATGTGCTATTTATAGGTGTTTTTCAACACCTTTGGCTGGGTACCCGACCGGGTATAGTGCTTACCCGACCGGGGTACCGGTCAAAATCAGATCATCTTCCACATTTTTGTGTTTCAGCACGTTAAAATGTCCCTGGTCAAGTCAGACCCGACCGGGTCAAGTAGGGGACCCGACCGGGTTTGACCCAAAAATCAGATATTCTTTATTCGGGTGATCCTTGGCACGTTCTGGTGTTCCGGGTCACATCTGACCCGACCGGGTCAAGTAGGGGACCCGACCGGGTCTAGCTATTTTCTCAGGGATCTGATTCTCAACTCAGACCCGACCGGGTATAGTGCCTGACCCGACCGGGTTTTGTGTTCCTGGACATTTTTATCTTCAACTTTTCTCTCCTTTTCCTTGCTAAACACACTATCACTATTCTACAACTACCATGAAAGCTAAAAACAATTACAAACAACATAAACCAAGTGTTTACAAACTAACTAAAGATGATGAAAAATCTACACAAAGTCAATACAAAAACATACATTTATGCACTATAAAGTAGTGCATATCAAATATCCCCACACTTGAATCTTTACTCGTCTCGAGTAAATGTAATCCAAGAAAATCTAAAAATGAAAAGTTCATCAACACAACCATCACAAAGTTTTTGAATAAAAGATAATCACAAAGTATCCCCTGTAAAAAAAGGCCACATCAAGGGGTCTTCCATTCCAATTTCTTATGCAATGAACCTTCTTCAGTCATCACCCTTAGGATCCTGCAGAATAAAAAGAACTACTTCTCTCATTCTCTCATTTTGCCTTGGTGCCCTTTCGGGTTTTCAACCTAGCTTCCCACATTTTCTTTTAATAAATCTCACAAACTCACTCTTATTTTTGCTTTATTTTTGCTTAAGCTGCCCTTTGTGGGTTTTCAACTTAACAAGCTATTTTTTTATTTGTTTTTTTGGAAAATAACAAGAATAAAGAGTGTGAATGTGAACATACCGGGAAAATCTCCCCCACCGCTAGTCCGTGGCACAGTCCCTAGTGCCCGCCCGCATCTCCGCCATCGAAAAATCCTTCATAACCCCTATAGTGGGTGTCCTCGTCCATATGGTCACCGCTGTATCCGTCTTCCCCGCCTCCACCACTATAGGTCGAACCACCAAAATAACCTCATTCAGTAGGGTTATACCATGAGGGTGCTGGAGGAGGAGTGGTCATAGAGGTGAAGTCACCTTGATGTGCGATATAGGAGTAGATAGGTCCAAAAGTCCTCCTTTGGTCCTCTTCATATCGGCGCCAATCTTCTCGCCTTTGTTCTTCAATCCACTCGAAACTATGCCTCTGCTCATTTCTATACAATCCGACTTCCTCCCGAAGTTGGGTGTAATTAAGGTTAAGAGCATTCATGCTGTTAAGCATTTCTTGCTCAAATGGGGAGTATTGATGAGCATGGGGTTGTGGTTGAGGTTGTTCAGGAATGACTGGTGGTGCTTCAAGTGCAGGCTGTTCATTGGCAGCGATGCTGTCTTCATTGTCCCCCGCTTCATTTTCTGGGGGTGCAAAATGTGGTGGGATTCTCCCGGGCAGACAATAGTGGTGTCCATCACCGATTTGGTGATCGATGATGTTAAGCGGGAGGTTTTCGGAAGGGAAGGGATAGTATAGTTCTTGGCCGGGTTGATGTGCCAATTATAGATTTCCAGGCCATCATGTTCTATGTGTGAGAGGGTCACATCGTCAGCATTCTTTAAAAACTGAAGGCCAAGAAGGGTCCTGTGGTTTTGTGCACCATTGCATACAAAACCATATAGTGTGGCAATGGGTAATTAGACCCCCCCACCAGAATATTTCCTCCACCATTTTTAACATTGATAATGTGATCCCAAAGAACTGTGGTCACATCGTATGGGCCGGCGCCCGGAAGAACAGCTTGTGCTAAGAGGCATACATCCCACACTCTAGTTTGATGGTTGTTTGGTCTTCCGAAAAAGCAATTAGCCAAGAATTTTAAGAAAATTCGGAAGACCGGGTGTTGGACGTGGTTGACATTGAGGTGGGAAGTACGATCATTGACAATTTCGGTTATTCTTCTCCATAGTTCATAGGCCCCAAGGAACTATACGCTACCATGTCATCAAGCAAGGGTAGGCCGAAGTGTTCAGCGAATTCTCTTTTAGTAAGTGAGCGGTTCTCGTTGAGCAGACGAAAGTTGATCGTGTTATTGGTGTGATCATTTTCACTTTTCACATTCTCAATGAAACTGTAAAACTCATACACTAAACGAGAATATGGCCAATAATGCATATCAAATATTTTAAGCATGCCACACCTTTGGAATATCTCTCTCATAATATCATTAATCTAGAACATAGTTAATGTCAATTGGCATATAAAGCGGGAGGGTTTTACCTCTCGTTCGGACTGCTAAAGGAAGCGGGTGCGTTGTGCGTCGGTCTCAAATTCCACCGATTCGAAGCCCTCGACGGGTGGGATAGCCCTTGCAGCTCTTGAAGAAGCAGCTCTTCCTTTTTTCGGTGCCATGGAGCTTGATGTATATTTTTTTTCTTTTTTTGGTGAGGGATTTTCGAAGTTTTATGGTGGGTGGGATTTGGTGGGGGTGAGTGGTATGGTTTTGTAGAGGATGATGAGGAGAAGAGGTATTTGATGTTTGTTGGGGATTTTGGTTTGAATTTGGACCTTGAATGTCCAAAAATGGAGGGGTTCGAAATTGGGGGTAAGGTTTATGGGTTTTGTTGATTTGGGGGATTTTGGAAAGATTAATTGGTGTAGGGTGGAAGAGGGAGGTGAGGAGATGAAGAATATGATGTTATTTGATGAATTTGGTGGGATAATTGGGAAGATTTGGAGGTTTTGGTAGATGAAAATGGAGGTTTTGGGGTGGGTTGTTCAAACATTGGAAGAAGGAATGAGGAAGAAGGTGTATGGCCTGACCTGGTATAGGCTGAAAATCCGTTGACCCGGTCGGGTCTCCTTGTTTACCCGGTCGGGTGAGCGTTCCAGAGACTGGCAGAGAGTTTTTGCGTGGATACCCGATCGGGTCTCCTTCCTTTACCCGGTCGGGTGAGCTGATTTGCTTAACCAGAGAGGTCTGGTAGTTGATACCCGATCGGGTGAAATAAAATACCCGGTCGGGTTTTACCATTTTTTTCAAATTTACGCTCCCCCACCCGGGTAACCGTGCGGGTATACCTGTTTTTATGTCATACCCGACCGGGTGAACTGTGATACCCGGCCGGGTATATTCCGGAACCATTTTTTTATTTTTTTTATTTTTTTTATCTGTTTTTTTACACACACACTCTACTTAAAAAATAGAAAGAAAAACATACCGTGCATGGGTTGCCTCCCAAGAAGCGCTTTATTTAACGTCGTGGCTCGACTATATCTTCTGTTGTTCCTTATTCGTAGACCGGTTCAGAAAGGTCTACGACTTCCACGTTTTTGGGTTAAACCCCCTCAAAGAAGGGTTTTAATCGTTGTCCGTTCACTTTCAGAACCTCTCCCGTCTCCGGGTCCTTAATTTCCACCGCCCCGTGTGAATATGTTTTGACCACTTTGTATGGTCCGGTCCAACGTGATCTCATCTTTCCCGGAAATAGACGAAGGCGCGATTGGAATAGGAGGACTTTTTCATCAAGTTTAAAGTCTTTTCGTATGATCATTTTATCATGTCACTCCTTCGTCTTTCTCTTGTATATTTCCGCATTGTCATAAGAATCCAGGCGAAGTTCTTCCAATTCTTGTAATTGGAGCTTCCTATGTACACCGGCCTCGTCAAGATTGAGGTTGAATTCTTTAACCCCCCAATAGGACTTGTGTTCTAGCTCTACGGGAAGATGGCATGCTTTCCCAAACACAAGTCTATAAGGGGACATACTGATTGAGGTTTTGTAGGCAGTTCGGTATGCCCATAGCGCATCATCAATGCGTATACTCCAATCCTTGCGATTCGGGTTCACTGTTTTCTGGAATATAGATTTCAACTCCCTATTTGAGGTTTCCGCTTGACCATTGGTTTGAGGGTGGTAGGCTGTAGAAATCTTGTGAGCCACACCATATTTTTTAGCAGGGATCCCACAATTTTATTACAAAAATGTGTGCCTCGATCGCTTATTAAAATTCGAGGGACCCCGAACCTTGAAAATATGTGTGATTTGAGAAAACTAGTCACCACCTTGGCATCATCAGTTTTTGTTACTTTTGCCTCAACCCTTTTGGAGACGTAATCTAGTGCAAGAAGGATGTAGATGTTACCTTGGGAGTTTGGGAAAGGTCCCATGAAGTCGATACCCCATGCATCGAAAATCTCACAGAAAAGCATGAGATTTTGTGGCATCTCGTTCCTCCTTGAAATGTTGCCCGCTCTTTGGCAATTGTCACAAGATTGACAAAAGCCGTGTGCATCCTGAAATAGACTCGGCCACCAAAAACCACTTTCAAGTATCTTCATTGCCGTTCGTTTCGGACCGAAATGTCCTCCACAAGCATAAGAGTGACAAAACTCTATGAAAAATAATTTAGCACACCCATTTATAAATTTTAAAGTTTGAAAATAATTTCAACATAGAAAAAGGACTTAAAATAATATTCCAATACTTCGAGACCGTTTGACAACACTGTTTTTCGGCTTATCAGGCTTATCAACCAACTTTTTCACCAAACACGTAACTTTCGTTTTCGCGTGCTGAATTGTACAATAAGCAGAAAAAGTAAGGCTGAAGTTACTTTTCTGGCTGTATTGGCTGAAGTTACTGTAGATGGTCATTTTAGCTATTTTTACATATAATTTTTTCTTTATTTTATTACTAAAATATATTTTAAAGATAATTTTTTCTTAAATCAGCAGAATCAGACATCGCAGCCAGTTCAGCCAGAACTTTATAAATTTCACTTCCATTTAGGTGCTACCAAAATGGCTTTCTTATAAATTTGGAGTGCCGCCAAATCAACTTCATAGTTCAGACGCCATGAAAGCAGCACTTCAACTTTACACTCGGTGAGATTGACACAAATATTTCTACCTGGCCTCCATGATCAATCTGCGATTAAAACACCTCAAGTTTAGGATCTCAAACATCAATTCTTGCAATTCCAATCCCTCAAGCTCCACACCATATCACACTTACCGTTATCCTCACAGGCAACCCGCCTCAGACCCGCCCCAAGAGCGGCGGAGGACGGCCTTTAAGCGCAAGCCAATTCCATTCCTTGCGGATCTTAAAAAAACCAGTGTCCCAGATGATCTACTCTCCCTCTTCCACGATTACCAGAAAATGGGCTTCAAGCATGACTACCCTTCCTACTCTTCTGTAATCTATAGACTCGCTAAAATTCGAAACTTTGATGCAGTGGACACGCTTCTTGATCGCCTTAAAGCTCACAATATCCGCTGCAGAGAGACTCTCTTCATCGGGTTGATTGGGCACTACGGAAAATGCCAGCTGGTTGACAAGGCGATTCGTCTTTTCCACGAGATGAAGATGTCTTTCAACTGTCTCCGCTCACTGCAGTCCTTCAACGCGCTTCTCAATGTGTTGGTGGAGAACGGGAGGCATCGAGAAGCTGATGACATGTTCAGGGGTTGCTCTAGTTTGGGGTTTCGCCCGAATTCTGTTTCCTTCAATATCCTGATAAAGATGTATCTTGAGAAGGGCGAACCTGAAAGCGCCCGCCAACTGTTCGATGAAATGCTTGACAGAGAAGTTGAGCCCACAGTCGTGACGTACAATACTCAAATCGGGTTCTTGTGTAAAAGGGGTGAGTTCGAACAGGGAAAACGTTTGTTCAAGGATATGGTTAGGAAAGGGAAGAAGCCAAATGAGGTCACCTATGCTTTACTGATGGAAGGTTTGTGTTTATTAGGAAAGTACAAGGATGCCAGGAAGTTAATGTTTGATATGGATTACCAAGGGTGTAAACCACGGATCGTCAACTATGGTGTTTTGATGAGTGATCTTGGGAAGAAAGGCAAGATTGAAGATGCGAAAAGTTTGCTGGTTGAGATGAAGAAAAGGCATTTCAAGCCCGATGCTTCGATCTACAATGTGTTTGTTGGTTATTATTGCAGAGAAGATAGACCTGTTGAGGCTTACAGAGTTTTAGTTGAAATGCAGATTGCTGGTTGCAAACCGGCTGCCATTACTTACAGAATGGTGTTTGATGGGTTCTGTAAGGCGGGACAATTCGAAGAAGGTTTGAAGGTTTTCAATGCAATGTCAACAAGTGGACACTTTCCACGGAGTGAAACACTTCGTCGTTTAGTAGTGGGTTTATTTGACCTTGGGAATGTTGATGACGTGTCCTTCATTTTCGAGGTAATGGCTAAGAGGAAAAAGATGTTTGATTTTGATTCATGGGAAGCTATAGTCAAGGACTCTTGTGCTCAAAATAAAGCATTAGACAACCTTATAACTGAAATTGTATCTTAACAAATGGGATTGTTCAATAGCATAATTTATTGACAGCAGAGCTTGAGCGGGTCAGTGGTACGGTGTGTCAAGAACTTTGGTTGATGGGGCAAAAATAAACACATTTGAAACATTCCAAAAATTGTTATCAACATAAATAATAAGTATAAAATGCTATAAATCAAAATAAATATCTAAAATGAGTGATGATTAAATGATTTTTATTTGGGGATCAATTAATAATTATTTATTCACATGCATGGATATGAATACATGCGTGTGTATTCAAAAAGGAGGATTTTATTAACGAAATCTGAGATTAAACAATCACGTCCACCCTTAACAAATTGATGAAGACTACAAACATTAAAGTAAACTCTAAAACTACAATCTAATATTTCATCAGCAGCAACTATTTGAGCAACTGAATTAGCTTCTCTCTAGGAGCGGGCAAAAGTGATTGAGGCAGTCATCACATTACTCTAAATTCTGGTTAAAAATCAGAGAATGACAATGTCTTCCAACGTTATTACTGTGGACAGCTAGCTGCATTCCCAGGCTACTAATGGGTATGTTTGGCAAATGGCTTATCAGCCAGCTTTTAGCTTGTTTGACCCATTTCAACTGTTTGATAAGTCAAAGAAGCTAATAATAATGTTTGGTAAATGACTTTTAAAATTAGCTTGTTGAGTTTGAAAAGCTGAAAAAATGGATTGTGGAAGAAGCTAAGGGGAGCAGCTTCTTCATTTGGCTGGTTCAATTTACACTCTATCAGCCATTTCGAAAGAGCCAATTTTACCAAACAGTTATTTATAATCAGCCATCATAACCAGTCGGTCAAAACAGCTAACACAACCAGCTGTTGCGAAACAGCTGACACAACCAGCTACCAGCAACAGCTAACAACCATTTAGCAAACAAGGCCAATACTTTTTTTCTATTACGGTTGCACTTATGTTTTTTTTTTCTTCATCTACTCCACGGGAGAGTCTATGCATAGCATATTTGCAAAGAGCTCCCTCCATCTCCAATGATAGATAGTCACTACAGCACTACTTATTGGTTAGAGACCCCATAAGAAAACTACTGCAACCATAAGAAGTTCACCCCCCCTGCAGCCAAGGGAAAGAATGAAAGACGATTTCCTGGCGATTCCAGATTGAATGAAAGTCGTAGTCAGATTCCAAGTTGGAGTTTTTGTACCCAGCTACTCCTAGCTCAGTTTGAATTGCAGATTGTGCTCTTATAGGAATTCCATGAAGTTAGGGGGCGGGTGGCTCCCTAGCCCTCTCTCGATACACTACTACATGTGGTTACATGTGACAACATGAGGTGTATGGGATGCTTTTGATTCATCAACGAGTGTTACATTTTAATTAACCAGGTCTCTGATTACATCAGAGAAGTGGCAGAGCACACCAATATAAGGATTTTTGCAAGTTAGACATTTGATATATAGACCAGTATTTGTTGTTGGCACTTCATTCTGTCCCAACATTCTTTTCCAGTCTAAAAATCAATATAAGCGGTTTTCTCCCCCGGTAACACCATTGTCCAAATCCAAAAGTAGAAAAGTATACAAAGTGTTTGACACTGTAAAGTACACATTAAATTATTACTGATCATATACATTTTATACTAAATTATATCTCTTGCTCTCTGAGTTATGATTGCATGGCTGCCAAGGCTGACCCTTACGCTATTTTTTTCCAGAATAGAACCCCTCCTTATCCCAATGTGTGAACACATAAATGTGGAGCTATATTGTCTTGGCTCACTCTAAATTCTTGAAAATGTATGGCACTCAAAATAGGAGTAAAAACAAGATGGCTCCCCTAAATGTGAGTTTTCTCTCTCTCCAAATAGAAGTAAAGTACTGTCATCCAGAGATTATACAGCCATGTACGTTCACAATGACAATATGGTTTCAAGATGGCAGTACCTACTCCTATTACGGGAAAAACACTTAGTACTCTGTTTAAGCAAGAATTAGACTAATCTGGAATTATATGTATACAGGGATCATACAAGAAACAAAAGGTAAAAACTAATGATTAATGAATTAAATATATTAATCTCAGTGGATGAATAAGAGAGTGGTATTATAAGTGCATAGATAATCAAGTGGGATTGATCGTGGCTTTCTATTGTGAGTTCTACTATATTTATACAACAATACTTTTCTAGTTATGTGGCTCAACTGCCTGCCGAAAATGCTTCCTGATTTCTAGGCTTCATCATTCAGTTGGATGCTCCCACCAAGTCTATTTTTATCCGATTCGTTTGACCGCCTCTTGCTTTGGACTTCCTATTTAATCAATTCATCCAGCCCAATTATCTCTGGCCCAACATCTCACTTTAATTGCTAGGGGTTGGATTAACCCCGACCCAACAATTGCCCCCTTCCGAGAAGTTAATGCGTATTGGTGCAAACTTCAACCCATTAAGCAGTAACTTGTCGAATTCTTGAAAGAGTATATAGTGGTCATACTTGATTATTGCATTTATTGACCCGTCATCTGTCCAACGAGACATGTCATCAACTCATCATTCGTATGTCGAGACGCTTCTGTCAACACGTCACTCGTCTAACGAGACGCCTTCATCAATCCATCAATTTTCAGATAAGACGCTTCTGTCAACTCGTCACTTGTTTGACGAGACGCTTCTATTGGATAATTGATACCCGTATTGTATGAGTTGCGTAGCCTCCTAAAGGAGAATATATAGGGAAAATCCAGGTCTGGGCCTCTAATATGGGCCTGACAGACCCGGTTACATAAATGGACTGATAGTACAAAAAACTAATCTAGAACATCTGAATAATAATAATGTACAATAATATGAATGATATCCGCTAAACGTGTGTGGGCCGCTGTCCAGGCCCAGTAGTCGGCAGACCGGGGGGTCGGAGTCCATATATTCCATCAGGAGTCCCCCACTCCCTGAGTCGAGAGTACTCGAGGCGAAAGGGAGTAATCCAAACTGTATCTGCAACGTTCTTCTGTCTTTTATTTCTTCCTTTTCGGTCGGGGGACCACCACCCTTGTCCATGATGGGGAGGTGCCTCGTTAAAAACCTTTACTAGGAAAAAACCCAGTGGGAAAAAATCCTAATAAAGGGAAAAAGAGTACACCTAGCGCCCCCAACATGAAACAAGGAAGGTAGGCCCCTTCCGGTATAATCACTTTTGTCTAGTTCAACCTGTCTTCATTTGACTTAGCTCTCGTTCCTGCTCATGCGTGATATTTGCTGCTCATCCAGAAAATCTGACCTCTCAGTCCCCCAGTTCCCCACTCCTTGAGGCGAGTGGAGACGAGGTGAAAAATGAGTAAAGTCATCTTCGTACCTACACATTTAACATGCATATAAATTTTTTCTTGAGGTTTATGTTTCAGATTGGGAGTTCGTCACTTAAAAAAGTGGAAATGTGAATTGTTGATGTAATGATAAAATACTTAGTAGAGTGGACATGCGAGCCATTCGTACGCAACGGTCGCCACTCTTGGAATGACTAAGACCGGTCTTCGTGCCCGACTTGATCGGGGCTTTGTGCCTGACTTGGTCAGGGCTTTGTGTCTGACTTGGTCAGAGCTTTGTGCCTGACTTGGTCAGGGCTTTGTGCCTGCTCTGGGTCAGGGCTTTAAATCCTGGTGATGGGTCTCAAGGCACAGTCTACTAGGCATTTGATCATAATAATTACGTGATAGTGTGACATTTAACCGAAAAAATATTGATTAAAATAAATATAAATAATATTAAAATTAAAGAGTACTTATCTTTTTTAAGCGGCCTAAAATTGTGGGCTGTCTCGAATGAATAGTATCCAGTAGAACTCCTTGGACCCATTTTAATTCGTGAAAAACCGACACCACATTAATGGCAATTTAGTGCTGCCTGGCCCATGTTCATTTTTTACTTCCCTCGTCTGTCTGCTACCGTGTTACTAACATTGCCATGGATTGGGGCAGCTGTTTTAATAATTGACTGGGTCAAATGGAACCCACACGCCAATCAATCTGGCCATCCTCGATGAATGAGGCATCTGATGAATCACAGAGGGGGCTGCAATGGATTCCCATCAGCCTGGCTGGAGATTTTGTCTTGCGACCAAGAACAGTAACGATAAGCTACTGTCTCATATCAAGTCCAGTCCACTGTTCATCCCGTTCTTGGAGGTTTGCAGCAGCTACTAGATGCCGGCGGTGGAGCAGGCGATGAACCAGCGTCGTGCGCTGGAGCAGCAAGACGGTAGGGAAACGCGGTTGGCCAAGAAGCGGTGGCATCTTAGACTTCCGGTCGGGACGCTAGTCTGTCTTCCCGAAGGGGCGAAGGGCTGAACATTTAGCGGCCATTAACAGCGGTCCGACTTGGTCGTTGGGTCTGAAATTAGTTGGAAACTCTGTCCGGACTTTGACAGTCAGGGGCTACTCGTGGCCGCACTTTCTTCAAGTTGGCTTTGGGCCCAAAAATGGAGCTTCCCAGCGGCCATTAATGGCGAAAATGGTTCGTGAAGCTAGAGAGACATGTGGCTGGTGAACGAGTAAAGGCGGCAGGAGGCGGTGCCACACTGGAGGATGATGAGCGAGCAACTTGTGGCCGGATTTTGAGTCGCATCTAACCCCTCCAACCACGTGCTCCTCTGGTTCAATGTTTAGATCTAGCCGGGATTGCTCCAACCTCCAGATCTGGATAATTCCAGATTTCTGTTTTTTATAATTTTCAAGAACAATTTTGGCTAATTTTTGTGTGAATGAAATGAAATTTTGGTTGTTTGGGGAGGTTTTCTCACTTGATTGTGTTCAAACCTCTCAACGAGAGCACCATTGTTGGATAATTGATACCCGTATTGTATAAACTAGGAAAGATTTGAACAAGAAAGAAGGAGAAGAGAAGAAGTATTGTGTATGAATCAATATTGGTTGTATGAGTTGTGTAGCCTCCTAAAGGAGTATATATAGGGAAAATCCGGGTCTGGGCCTCTAATATGGGCCTGACAGACCCGGTTACATAAATGGACTGTTAGTACAAAAAACTAATCTAGAACATCTGAATAATAATAATGTACAATAATATGAATGATATCCGCTAAACGTGTGTGGGCCGCTGTCCAGGCCCAGTAGTCGGCAGACCGGGGGGT